TTCGGTCATTGTACTGAGATACGCTATGTACCTTTTCTTTAGCAGAAAGTAATGCGCTTTCTTCCTCAGTACCTATCTCAGCGGCTTCTGTAATATGTGTAGGGTTCCTAGCACGAACTACGGTCTGTATTCGTTCATTCGCTAGCCCCTGTATGAAACATGCCTTTCCTAACTGTGATACCAACTTTGTGATACCGCACATTTCAGATGAAGACGCGCCTTCTATAGCCGCGTCTCTGAAATCTGAACCCAATTGGTCAAGCCTACTGCACCATGCAGCTACTGTTTCATGTTTGGCTTGTCGGGCATTGAACATGGCGCAAGCGTAAAAATCTAATGTTCTCCTAGTAGCATAATGCTCCTTCAAAATGGCCTTAACACTAGCCCAATCATCGGCATCTTGCCGAACAAGTAATTTTGCCTTCGCCTCGCCTGTTATACGCGTGCGTACATACTTGTAAAATAAATCATATTTATCTGGGTTAATTAGCCCAAAAGCTGCATCGACGTTTTCGCAAAACTCTTTCAATTTGCGTTTGTCGCCGCTAAACGGTTCAGCTACCAATTTGAAAGCATCACTGACACATATATATTCGTCAGCCATTTTTTTTTTCAGATATACAGACGTGGACAGGAGGAACAGGTGAGCAAGAGTGACTTACCTTGTGCACTAACTAGATTGCTACCGCCTCCAATGGTTGTCTTCACGCCTCGCTTGCCTCTCAAGCGAAGCTGGACACACCCTCTGGCAACGCAGACTCGGATGCCGACTATTGGCCAGTCTAACGGCGTCACGTCTACAACAGCTCAGTACCTCCACCGGACAGGCACCTATTTGCCCGCGTCCTGGAATGACGTCCCGTTCTTGGAATCGCCCTGGTACCGCACAGCAATGGGAAACCACCTTCGTCGGATAGACGCCTTCTTGGAAGCGTCGTAAACCGGCGTCCTCGCGTCGGAAATCGTCCTGGTGATGACTTCCTTCGGGAATGGCCCACTCTCTTAATCACGTACACCAGTTGCCAGTCCTCCACTCTGCTAATGTCGATAGCGCGCTTGGTCGCTACCGGTCATCTTGCTGGTCGTGCTCAAAGGGTTTTTCCTCTATCTGTATTGGTTAAAATCTGCAGAATTCTTTCACTTCACCGATTTGCAACTACACGCAGAATTCTTTCACTTCACAGATTTGCGACTACACATAGAATTCTTACACTTCACAAATTTGCAACTACACGCAGAATTCTTTCATTTCACAGATTTGCAACCCCACACCTGACACCAGATTTTTCTCTCCTCTGTCGTGACCCAAGACATCAGACTCAAGTACCTAAAATTGAAAAGGGTTGCGAATCCCGCAACAGATTGAATCTTAACAATTTTTAAGTTGCAAACTACGTAGATATGAACGGTGTTAAAACTCGCCTTGTTTAATTATGGGGGCTCGCGGTAGCGTAGTTAGTTGAGTCACAAAGCTGCAAGCTGGAAGATCGCTGTTTCAATTCCCGGTGAGGTCATTGGATGTTTCAACCGACCTAATCCTTCCAGCCGCGGTATGGCCCTGGGGCTGACTCAGCCTCTAACAGAAATGAGTACCAGGAATCTTCCTGGAAGTAAAGGGCGGCCAGCGCATAAGGCTGACAACCTCGCCATCTATGAGCTGATGGTCTAGAAAATGTGGAAGCCTCGACGCCTCACAACTTTATGGGCCTCCACGGCTTGTTACAGGGATAACTTTACGTTTAATCTTTTACCTCCTTTAATAATGTTTAAGATAAAAATGTATTTCAAAAGGGCGAAATTGCCTCTCCTTTATATCCTTGGATGACGCAGGTTCACTTGTAATGTTAACAATTTTTCAAACTTTAATCCTTCATGAAGGTAAGCCACAACTGAAAATAGCGTCTGCCAATTTCTAGGTGGTCTTAATAGATACTCTTTCCCTCCATGGCATCATTTCGTTTCTCAGTCCTACTGACTTCGTTTCTTTCAATTAATATGTTAACATTTTATTCGATTTGTTTTAGTTTTCATCCCGTATTCCAGCATCCTGTTGCAATATTTAATTATACGCCTATGCATCCATAGACCGGCAACAATGCAACAATTGTTTATTCGCCAAGTTGTGTTAAACGTTAAATGGTGAATTAACAATTGTTGCATTGTTGACGGTTTATAGATGCATAGACGTTTAGTTTTCATTTTTAGTTTTAAATATGAATTCAATTAATTTCTTCTATATGCTTATAGAGCTCGCTTGCTGTAAGCTACTTGCGCTTGGAAAGCTTTCAAATAAAGAAAATAAAGTGCTTTCGGTATTGCTTGTTGTTGTACTTCTTCTCGTAGGGTGTCTTGACCATGACCCAGTGTCAAACCTTGTCCCTAAGGGTCAGCACATAACCGCTTCCTGCAAAATGCGAAGTGCAAATTGCTGTTAGTGTCTTCTTCAAGATGCGTACTGCTTCCAGATTGCCCGCCTTCTGCAGTTCATGCTGGAGAGTATCGGTAACAAACAGTGAGTAATAGACCCTGCATATAGCATCTGACTGTCAAGGGACTACGAGGCATTATACAGTGAATATCCCAGAATAGACATATCCTGTGTGATTGTGAGGTCATAGCTTACTTAAGATGTCGTCACGTGGGTCAGTTCTTCATGGAACCAAGTGACTTTTATGACGCCCCCATAAATAAAGTCCTACATTTCATTCTAAGTGTAGGATTAATAAAGGGTTAATCCAAAGGGGAAGCACAATAGACCATTGAAGGTCGCAGTGCGGGGGCCGGATTTTATGGCCCACTCCTTACACACATACATACATATAATCCCAGAAGACAGACTTCTTTATAAGGCTTGCAGTTTGAAATAAAAACATGAGAACTCTGTCATCAGTCTGAAAACACAATAAGTATCAGCTTCAAAAGACTTGGTTTTAGAAAAATATCAAATTATTAGACACGTTTTAAATAATACCTGGTAACAAACCTCTCTTATTACACTTATAAATTCTGTAATTTGGTTTTAGAGCAAGGTAAGGCTGACTTGCATCAGAGATTTCCAACATTGTCTAAGTCACAGGCCTGCAAAATTGCAGTGAGCTTTCCAAGAACTCCTATCTTATCTGTCTCTCACTGAACAGCCCAAACTGCAGTCTACAGATATAGTTGTCTACAACACTTTAGTTAAAATACAGTATGAACGTTCGCATGCTGTCTTAAAATCAAGGCGGCCACATAACACCTATACTAAAATTCGTAATTAAAAATTATATACAAGAATATAGAACAAAATTTCAAGTAGCGTAATCCTTAATGTAATGAACAGAGTTACCAAAACGTCGTTTGCAGTTCACTGATTGTTTGTAGCCGGTTAATGAAGGGCTTGCATTACAGTCATCAGACTCGGGAAACAGGTTAGAGATCACTGTAAACTTCTTGTGAAAGCTGTAATTAATCTTCGGATTCCATGAAGAGCGGAAAATGTCTTGACCAGCAGTACGGCTACTGGGTTCTAATGACGGAGCCTGCAGAAATTTAAATAGTAATTTTCAACAAAACTGCTTATTTGATAAAAAGGAAAGGAGACACTAAGAGAGTTGCTTGTGCACTCATAAGATTAGCAAAATTGAATGTTACTTTAAACGATCAACAATACATCTTCCAAGGTGGTTAATATTTATTAAGAACCACTGCATGTTTCGATCCCACGAGTCGTCAACAAGTGGTACCTCATCAGAAATTATGTTACTGACTTCTCGCAATTTGTGTATAATATTAAAAGGTGGATCCAGGTTTTACAGTAAGCGTTTATATGTGTTACAAGTGTTCTCAGAAAAGTTGTATATTGTATCGCAGCTCAGTATACTTCTTGAAATTATTGCTGTAAAGGCGAAAGGTAAAAAGGAAAAAGTAGGATTCACATGTAATATATAATCTTATCATTATCATACACAATAAAATGCAGAATTAAAAAAAGGTTAAAGCAATGTTTCTGTTTTGAGCTGTGATTAGTTCTTGCGAACAGTCAATATTCCGCAGAGGGCAGATGATAAATACTGACTTACGTGATAAACACAGTTACATTGCTGTCTGTGGCTGTATCTTATAACAGTTCCTGTTCGCTATGGCTGAACGCCCAATGAACCACTCGAACGCGGGAATTGCGGGTCTGAAATCTTCGTGAGGCATGTGTGTANTGAAAAGTATTCTTCCAATCAACGGCGAAACAAATGGAATCCTACGTTAATATACCCGTATAACTATTCCATAGGCCCAATATGCGATGAGCACAGTTCGACTCTTCTTTTCATTAAAGTCCTTTTAGCTTAATTATATTAATTCAATATGTAATTAAATATAAACAAATTAGTAAAATTTGTGAATGACGTAATAATTCTACCACGATTAAAATACTCATTTATTTAACTCGGAAACTCTAAGGTTTACGGAAACACGTACTGAACTAAATTGTGTTCCATTTCTCTTTACAGTTTTCATCCGATATATTTTTATCTTCGATAAATATTTAGCGCCTTACGAGCGAACTGGTTTCCAGATGCAAGAAGAAACGCATGTGCATTTTTATTTTTTTCTGTTGTCACATTTTACTATTTAAATGTATACATAAATTTCTAGTGAAATTTACCAGTATCAGGCCAGTATCAGGCCAGTAACAGTATCCGGAGATATAAAACAGTGCTCTCAAATTGTTCATTAAAAATTATTTGAAAGCGCTAAAAAGTAATGTAGGGGATTGAAATAACTAGATTTCATTGAAGATTTACTCGGATATATGAATATAATATTTCGACTAGAATTAGAATGGAAAATAAACCACTTTGAAGTTGTAGGAAAAACGAACCTGTATCTCATAACGTCGCCGCGTTACGAGTACGCGATTTATCGACGCGACCGACGTCGAAGGACACCTCCGTTTGTGACTAGACCGACTAGACTTTCTCAGATCTCCCAGAAGAGGCAGCACATGGTGTAACAACTGAAAGTGACCAAATAAAAACAATTAAATGCACAAGCGCTCTCGCTCCGTCTCTAATCGGTGTTTCCGGGCCAGTCTTTGTTTTTTTGTTACAGTAGCAATTTAGTAATCAGTATGATCAGTTGGTGTAGTTCGTCTAATTTGTCTAATTCTAATCATGAGTAGTCGCGTTGGTCGGCATAGAACGAAGAAATTGATTTGCAGTTGTAATTGAACGGAAAACAGTTTTGTATCTCCCTCCAAGTGCAACTGTTCAAGGAACTATATGGAAAATGGGCTTATATGACATTACTGTATATACCATTTAATCGTTTAACAGCCGGGCTTATAACACAAGACGTCATTCAGTGGGACAAAATGTCGAGAAGGTTAGGATGAAGTATGTTATTGCTGATAATTTTCAGTTTCATGATCGCATTATTTTCATTAACCATAGATGAATACATATTTTGGATGAAACCATATCACTGAAACTTACACATTTTCCAACAATTATCCTGTGTATAATATAATATTGATGCTGATGTAATTATAATTTATAGTGTGAAGATTGCACCAGGTGCTATGGTTTGTAATGAATGTGAACTACGTGGTGACATTACCATTGGGAGCATGACAGTGATCCACCCAAGAGCCTCAATCATTGCTGAAGCCGGTCCCATAATCATAGGGGATTGTAATATAATTGAGGAGCAAGCACGCATAATCAACAGGTTAGAAACTAATACATTTTATCTCATGTTCCAGATCTGTGCTGTAACTTCCAATTTGTTCACTGTTGATTAAATCCGAATGTAAGGAAATGCACCTGTATACATTACAGAACATTTCACTGGTTGGTTCCCCAGCTGACATTATTTCTTTCCTGCTATGAATTGTACAGTCAGTTTCAGAGTAAACGTGTAAGTAGCAGAGCATAAATCTTTCTTTAAATCAGATACAGATGTTCCATGTTTTATATCAACAGCCACATGTCTCAGTGCTACAAATATAGTCATGAAATTTGTCTACTCTCAGCTGTCTCAGTAGGACCCAGTCTTAGTTCACTGTTTTTAAGTTTCCTCAGCAATATTTGTGATTATGCAGTCTGCTGTGTTATTGGTCAGACCATCAAGCATCCTTCAGTGCTCGACTAACGCACCCTTCCCTATTAAAATGACAAGTAGTGACTCCTTGTTCACAGAACAGACCATTGGTGATGCTTCTTGTCTTTGCATTGTTCTACTAACGCAGTTTTCATAAAAGAGTCGTATCTTACGAGACATAACATTGTGTAATGCAGTCAGCGTCAAACAGCATTCTGCTCTGCTTGGTGCTGGCTTCATTCTGGTGTCTCGCTTGGCATACTCTTCTGTCCAGGAGATGTGAGAACTCCAGTTCCACCGCAGCTTCCTTGATTTGAATGGTGGTAGTGACTGGTTGTTAGCAGAAGTGCATACATATTGCTTCTCTGAATTAAAATTGTCTGATTCTTGATATTTTCTACCATGTCCCATAAGTCTTGGAATCATGTGCAGTAGGTTCTTTAAAAGCAAACTGTCACTGCATGCAGTGAGAAACTGTTCTCTTTGGCATGAATTGTGGATATACATATTGCACATATTTTAGAAACAGATGTTAAACCAGCATTGTTGCCTACAGTTCATGCTTATGGCATATTCTTTAGATTGGCAGTGACTGATTTCCATTCTCCTTTTGCATTCAGCCTGGACATACAGTCATAGTCTTAACATGACATTTTATAATGTACGTTGAAAGAATGAACAGTTACATTGTAAGATTTGAGGTTTTCAAGGCGGTGACTATGAAGAATACCGTCTTCTGGGATGTAGCGCCATGTAGATCTTGTGTGAACCAATGTTTCGGAGGCTGCAGTCTGCAGCCACCTGCTCACACCTGTTTTCTTGCCCGTGGATTTTCTACCCTGAAGATAGAGGTGATACATTCCTCTGAAAGGTCAGTTCACACAATATCTACATGGCGCCACATCCCAGAAGATGGCATTCTTCACTGAACAGTTACCTTGTAGGGCAAATCTATGTAACAGATTTGTTCGGTACTTACAGGGGGCCTCCAGGAGATGCAGCTCCTACATCTACACCAGTGATGATCATTGGAGCTAATAATGTGTTTGAAGTTGATTGCACCTCTGAAGCCCAGAAGATCGGAGATAACAATGTCCTGGAATCAAAATGTTTGTATAACCTCTGTGTTGGTTCTGAAAGGAAGATGTTCAGATAAATGTATTCAGATCTGTCCAACTCTTCTCCCTTTCCAAATGTACTAAATCATCCCATTTATAAGGCTGTTTAATATTACATTTTGGCATGGTAACTACAGTACCAGGAAACACCCTCTGCAGTGTTGCTTGAAAATAATTGTTTCACTTTTTATTGGGATAATCCCATATAAAGCAGTGGCACTGTTGGTTATAATAAGCCAGATATAATCTTCAGGATAAAACAAAAGAGACTACAATAATGGAGTTACAGTGACAAAAATTTTGAAAGCATAGAGAGAAAGAAGAAATGGAAGCCTGGATGTGTTTTTGTAAGAATACAAAGAATCTGGGTATTAATTCAAAATTTTCAGAGAATATCCCTAGTGATATTAACCACAAGTTTTGTCAGTGTCAGACCCAGTATTAGCCTAGTTCTTCATGTAAAACAGGTCTCATGTATGATATACTGAAGGATGTTCTTGTACAGACATGTCAGAAAACTGGTAAACACCATGGACTTTTGTGGTTGCAGTACCTGTTTATAAGAAACAAGTTATTCTCTCTGTGCTGTAAGATGACTTAATATTGCAGATGCCTTTTGACTCTGTGGCCTACCCATCAGAGTGGCTGTTCCATATTGTTCACATGTAAAGATAACAGGTATTGACTAAAATCGTTGTGTTCCTATTGATAAACATATGAAGGGGGACCCAAAAATAACTGGAACCGACTTGTTGCACGCGCATGCTTTGTAGTTACGAGTTGTGCTGCTAGGTGGTGTTAGCTGGGGGTCTCCCGCAACTGTTAGTGAGCTGGCGTCAGTCTGAGTTAAGTGGTTTGTCTGTGGTGCTCTGTTGTGTGCGTTCCTGTTTCAATCCTTTGGCGATTAGTGAGATGGCCGACCAGAAGGAACAAAGAGTGTGCGTGAAATTTTGCTTTCTGTTAGGGAAAACTGCAGCCGAGACTGTTGGGATGCTTCGGCAAGCCTTTAATGATGATGCTTTGGGGAAATCACAGGTCTACGAGTGGTTTTCCCGTTTCAAATCTGGCAACATGTCAACAGAAGACATGCCACGCCCCGGGCGTCCTTCGACAGGAAGAAATGACGAAAACATTGCCAAAATCAAACGTGCAATTGATGAAGATCGTCGAAAGACCATTGACCAACTTTCTGAGGAAACGAACATCTCATGGAGCACGGTCCAGCGAATTTTAACCGAAGGTTTGCACATGAGACGGGTGTCTGCAAAATTTGTTCCTCGCTTGCTCGGAGATGACCAAAGAGAAAACCGCGTGAATGTTTGCCGCGACTTGAAGAGTGAAGTGCAGAACGATCCAGAATTTCTTAAAAGAATTGTGACTGGCGATGAGTCTTGGTGCTACGGGTACGATCCAGAATCAAAGCAATCATCAAGCCAGTGGAAAACTCCAACTTCACCACGACCGAAGAAAGCGCGTCAAGTGCGATCCAATGTGAAAACAATGTTGATTTGTTTTTTTGATGTGAATGGCATTGTCCACAAAGAGTTCGTTCCGCCAGGACAAACAGTGAACCAACATTTTTACCTGGATGTGTTACGAAGATTACGAGAGAGTGTGCGACGAAAACGGTCCGAAATGTGGAGAAATGGGAAGTGGTTGCTTCACCACGACAATGCTCCAGCCCACACAGCTTTGACGGTCCGACAGTTTTTGACAAGCAACAACATGGTGATTGTGCCTCATCCACTTTACTCACCCGACCTGGCTCCGTCGGACTTTTTTTTTGTTTCCACGGATGAAGAGAAGTCTGAAAGGAAAGCGATTCCTTGATGTGGATGAAGTCGAAGAAAACACGCTAAAGGCTTTGAACAGTATCCAGCCTCAAGAATTCCAGGACTGTTTTGAGCAGTGGCAAAAGCGGTGGGACAAGTGCATTAATGCACATGGACAATACTTTGAAGGGGACTAATATACAGTTCAATAAAAATGCAAAAATAAAAAATAACAAAAATAAATTCCAGTTATTTTTGGGTCCCCCCTCGTAATTTGTATATAAATGAAAGCATTGTATGGTATGTTGAATTTTTGTTGTCTCAGTTACTGTGATAGAACTTTAATGTTTATATACTTAAAATTATACTGGTAAACACAGTGTTTTACATGGGTACAACTTAATATTGCCGTCTTTGTTGCTAGTGATGTTTTCTTCGCATCATACTCTTTCTTGTGTTTAAAATTAACATACATGTTATGAAATGTTGATGTCTCACCTTCTTGGTGTCACCACATATTTATTGATCATATGTAAGATCGTCTCTGTGGTCTAGTGGTCAGAATTCTTGGCTACAGATCTAGAGGTCCTTGGTTCGATTCCCGGCGCTACCGGATTTTCTGAGAAGTGGGTCTGGAACGGGATCCAGCTCCACTCTAGAGAACCGAGATTAACGGCTGTGGGGATTTGTTGTGCTGATCACGCAACACCCTTTATCTGCTAAAGTTGGCACAAACTTCACCAACAAGTGGCAGTAGCTCAGTCGGTATAGTTCGCTTAAGAACTAAGGCCACAGAGTTTGTTTTTGGTTAATTTAATCTATGTATGTATGTATGCCCGGGACTGATTTGTGTGTAAACAAGCCGCACTCTGCAGCAGCTGTGCGACCTAGAGAGATTGAAGCCACAACCTGCACCCTCCCCCCTGTTAGGGTTAGAACCTGTTAGGTCCTGTCTGGAAGTTGCTAGAGTAATGAGAGAATAGAAGGTACCGCAGAGCGTGGAACAACGCATTGTGATCAAATTCCTTGGAGAAAATGTCCAGTCCACTGAAATTCACCACAGACCCCAACAACAGTATGGGGAAGAGTGTCTCTCATGGGCCCATGTGTCTGAGTGGTGTAAGTGCTTCAGAGAGGGCAGAGTGTGCGTGGAGAATGAACCGCATGATCGTTGGCCGCGAACATCCATCACCGAGACGAACATTGATCATGCAGTCGTGCTTATTCGTGAGAATAGGCTCATCACTCTCAAGGAACTTGGAGTAAGATCCGATCCAAGCGGAAGACAGGTGGAAAGCGGGTAGCCTTCCTTCAAGACAATGCACGCCCCCATATGGCCAAAAGAACAATGGAAACCCTTCGGAAATTGAAATAGAACCTTCTGACACATCCGCCGTACAGTCCCGATTTGGCCCCAAGTGATTTCTGCCTGGTTGGAAGGCTCAAATCAGACTTGCAAGGCATGTGGTTTGTGGACAATGACACTGTCATTCAGACTGTTTGGGAGTGGATACACCGCCAACCACGTCTTTTTTTTTGGGGG